TTATGCTCTGTTTTTCAGATTTTGTTTTCTCTTTTGTGCTTTGTTGATGTGTCAGCTCGTTAGGTCACACGTGTACAGGCATGAGGTGGATATCTGATGGGAGGGTAACATGATGCAGGGAGGGAATCTTTTGGTTTCCTCACCTGCTTCAAAGGCAATGTCAAACTTGAAAGTGAAGTGGTAGTCGCTCAGTCGTGTCTGACTCTTTGTGATCCCATAGACTGTAGCCCACCAGGTTCTTCTGTCCATAGGATTCTCCGGGCAAGAATACTGGAGTGGGTAGCCATTCCTGTCTCCAGGGGATCTTCCTGACCCAGGGATCAAACCCAGGTCTCCTGCATTGTAGGCAAATTCTTTACTGTCTGAGTCAGAAATCCATAAGAAATAGTTGGTTTTCTATCACAGGTTGTTAGAAAAGTTGCATCAAAGTTTTGGGACTCAGCTTTCTGCTCAGTGTCAACACGTAAATCTCACACTGTTCACTCTCTGGGAACATTCAGGCTCACCTATTTGATGTAATTTAACTTACATAGTGGGGGAAACTGCTCTGGGCTTTCACTCTGCTATGTGTTTGTCCAAAAGTGGTTATTGTTCTTCCCACTTTTTTTTAATGGCAGAGCAACCCTGAGAGAGAGATTACAAGTTCTACAGTTTTATCTTAGAAAGTTGAAGCAGTTTGCTCAAGGTCACAAGAGCATAAGAGGTACAATTATTTTGACTCAGTTTCAATTACTCTTTCCTTAATACAGTGTTCTTCTTATATTTCTATTTGAATCTCATATTGCCATTTAGTTAATCATTAGATCAATAAATGTTTGTTGGTATCAAGGCTATTATATCAAAAGAGGTAGTCACACTGAAAAAAATTTGAATTAGGTCATCATCTTCTAAGTTTCCCACTTAGAACAATGCTAAATAATATGTGGTTGCTTGCATATTAAAGCCCTATGGAATCATACAGCACTCAAAGCTCAAACTAACACTGGGAATTGTAATTTTATACATTTCTTGTGTAAAGACTTGATGGTTGGTTGGAAGCTGTGTGGCTTTGGGGAAATTACTTAATATCTTTAGGCCCTGGTTTCCTTAAATGTAAAGTGGGGATAATAGTACCTACTTCTCTGGGTGGTTGCCAAGATTCAAGCAGGCAATGTATTTTTAAAAAATTATTAAAATTTATTCTTAATTGGAGGATGATTGCTTTACAAAGTTGTGTTGGTTTCTGCCGAATAGCAACATGAGTCAGCCATAAGTATGTACATATCTCCGCCCTCGTGAGCTTCCCTGCCCCATCCCACCCCTCTAGGTCGGCACAGAATGTCACAGGGCTCCCTGTGTTATATTGCAGCTTCCCACTCGTTATCTTTTTTACACATGGTAGTTATATATGTCAGTGGTACTCTTTCAATTGATCCCATTTTCTCCTTTGCCTGAGATAATACATTTATTAAGTCCCAGCACAGTGCCAGACATGTAATAGGCACTCAGTAAACGTTAAGTTTCTCCTTGACTAACTTCTTTCATTGGCTGTGTAGGAAAGCGCTGTGAACAGACTCTCAAAGTCAATCACTTCCAAGTGCTTTTGGAAAATAATGAGTAGAGAGTCTTAAAATTCACTGTCACTATTGTTGGTTGGGGCCCATTGTTTCCACCCCACTCCCCCAAAGAATATCATGTTAAAAGTTACTGGAGAGTATTTAATATGCAACAATTTGCTCTGAAACTTTTTTTTCAGTAACATACCTAATGATTAAATCAAATCAAGCAGAAGTTTTCTGTATGTGATTCAAGAATGCTGTTCATCCTTTCAGCACTGCAAGTGTATTACCTGTTGTGAAAGGAGGAAGTGTGCCCAATTAAGCTTGAAAGCAATGTTACCAGAAAAGGATTAGCAAATCACAAGGCAGAATCCTTAGCAGTAAGGTCCCTACTGAACTGTGACTGAGGCAGAAGCCAAGGAATATGTTTAATATGTGCTGCCCCATTAGCTCCCGGAATCTTAGTATATAACCCACATCACTGAGTCAGACCCAGAGGAGGGAAAGAACAGGAGCATCATGGCTCTGCTATGCAGACATAGCACTATTGTTTCCAGAAATTAGTTTTTATTTTATTAGAGTAATATATTGCACACCAAGTTCAAAAGTCAAATGTTATTAAAGTGATTATAGTAACTAACAGGGGTTTCTTTTTCTTTTCTTCTTGATGTGGACCATTTTTCAAAGTATTTATTGAATTTGTTACAATATTGCTTCTGTTTTAAGTTTTTGTTTTTTGTTTTTTTTGGCCGTGAGGCATGTGAGATCTTTAGCTCCTCCACCAGGGATCAAACCTGCACCCCCTGCCTTAGAAAACAAAGTCTTAACCACTGGACCACCGGGGAAGTCCCCACAGGGATTTCTTACCTCATTTCTTCTCTTAGTTCTCTTCCCCAACCACCTTCAACAATTTTGGCTTTTTATTCATGGCACATGCACATCTCTGTATTTCCAAATAATAGGTATATTATTCTCTTTTAATTAATCCATACTTGACCTCTATTAATTTCCTATTATGATATTTGAGGATTTTGTTCTCTTATACCATCATGCCTTCTGCTTCCCTTCTTACAGATCCCAGTAGGGTCATATTACAGCTTTTGTTTAATTGACTAGTCCATTTTGATATTATTGTGCCTTGGCAGATATTGTTCAGGCTAAGCATTATAATATACAGATCATTATATTTGCTTTCTAACTTTTTGTCTTTATCTAAAGTTAATAATGACCTCTTTGTGTCCACTCTCCCTCCACCCCGGTCCTTTCAATCTGCTTGTTTTGGGTCCTATTTCTAATTTTTTCTACACCTTCCAATGGCTTCTTGGTACACTTTTCTACAAGTGCTGTCATATCAATACATATATATGTTCCATTTTGTTTTTCCTAAGAATATCCCTCCTGGACACCTCCTTCTGCTTCTGTAGGGACTGACCTATCTCTGGCCTGTTGGGGGTGAGGTGGTGTCACAGCAGCCAAGAGAGAGGGGGTTTGAGAAGAAGGGAGTGGTCAACTGTGCCTGCAAATGAGAACCCAAGTAAGCAGAGGCCCGACGTCTCGGTGCGGTTGATGGGGCTCCGGGGAGAGCACTCTGTGGGGAGCACAAGTGCTGAGGCTGAACCTATAGGCGTGAAGGCGTGTCACAGCACCGCCACACCTGTTCCCACGCCATCTGGCCTCAGTGTTAACCCATGAGCTTGCTGGGTCAGAGAGACAAACATGCATTGATTTTTATGTTTCAAAGTGGAGAAAACTGAGGCTCAGAAATGTTGGAAGCCTTGATCTGTGACTGAGCCAGGTCTTGTGGCTCTAAATCCAGTGTTACAGGAAAAGATGCTCAACATCACTCATTATCAGAGAAATGCAAATCAAAACCACAATGAGGGACCATCTCACGCCAGTCAGGATGGCTGCCATCAAAAAGTCTACAAACAATAAATGCTGCAGAGAGTGCAGAGAAGAGGGAACCCTCTTACACTGTTGGTGGGAACGCAAACTAGTACAGCCACTATGGAGAACAGTGCGGAGATTCCTTAAAAAACTGGAAATAGAACTGCCATATGACCCAGCAATCCCACTGCTGGGCATACACACCGAGGAAACCAGATCTGAAAGAGACACGTGCACCNACGTTTAAAACTGAGCATCATCTTTCCTTTCCAGTGAAACAAAAAGAAAAATTTAAAAATAAACAGGAACAAAATTACAATAGAGAAATGTCAATTGAAAATAAGATCCTACAGGTTCTGCTGATTCTCCCATCAAGTGGCAGGGCTCAAGTCATCATTAGGAGAGAATTTTATTTTAAAAGTGTCATCTTAAACTGCAAGGATGTCCGTTAAACATCACAATTAAACATGCCAAAGGAGAAGCCCAGCTGTTGAGTTTTTAGACAAACATTTGTCCTACTCTGTGTCCCCAATACTATACTGACTGCTGTATGCAGATTGTCTTAAGCCTCACAGTTACTCCATGGAATCAGTAACAATACAAGTTCATGATAATGACAAGGAAATTGAAGCTTAAGAAGTAGAGTAACTTCCCCTAAATTACACTATCAGAAAGTGTTAAGAGCCAGGATTGAAACAAGGGGGTTGTAACCTGTAATTGACTTGTACAGGCAACTGGGGGCTTCCCAGGTGGCTCAGTGGTAAAGAATCCGCCTGCCAATTCAGGAGGCGTGAAAGACACAGGTTCGATCCCTGGGTCGGGAAGATCCCCTCGAGGAGGGCATGGCAATCTACTCCAGTATTCTTGCCTGGAGAATCCTCATGGATAGAGGAGCCTGGTGGGCTATAGTCTATGGGGTCACAAAGGGTCGGACAGGACTGAGGATTGAACACGCACACATACAAAAGGCAATTGAACTAGAGACTTAGATCTTCAGACTCTCCAAACTGAATTATTTTGAGACTTAATCATTCCTTCTGGATAGAAGGAGAAAGAATATGGTGAAGATTAGGTGAGAAATGGATAACTAGTTCCCAGAAAGCTTCAATAACTTAAGGGTTCAGACATTGGATAGAACTCTAAATGGTGGACAAGAGTCAATGTGCATTTTCAGATTCTTCTGCTTCTGCAATCATCCCCTCCTCCATGAAACCGAAATATTACAGGGCATTTGAGCATTTGTAGAATGATTATGCTCTTATTTTAGAAAATGTTTGAGTACCTACTGTTTGCTTGGCCTAGACCAGATTCCCGCTTTCATGCAGCTTACAGGCTGGACAGTGTCATTTCAGAGATTAAGTTGGTTCTGTGGTTATGGAGGTGAGAAGCCTATGGGGACCTTAGACTATGACTGTGGAGGGTCTTATTCAGCCTCTGAAAGTCTAAACAACCTTCCCAATGCTACAAAGCTATTTTCCCTTGTTACTAAACCCTAAGTTTCTTCAGGTATCCAAACACCTTGGAGAGAATGGATTGATCCCCAGTTCAGGTGAAACCCTGATTGCTCTAAACCAGTTCTGCTCGAATGCAGACGCCGGAATCACCTGGAGGGCTTGTTGAACACGTAGTGAGGCGTCCTCGCATGAGTCCTCACAGGATTGTGGTCCTGTGAGCAAGGTGGCTTCCTCCCGGAGTTGCATGTCCCTTCTACATCTCCCACCCACCCAGGGAGCAGGAGGAAGGTGAGGAAACGAGGGCGCCACTGGCAGGTGGCCCCACCACCCGCTACCCGCCGGGGTGCTGCCGGCCCTGGGCGCCCCCAGTGGCCCGGCGCACTGGCTGTCGGTGCTGTTTCTGATGTACGTCCTTGGCTTCGGCAGCATTTTTGGCTGTGATAATCCTGGTGCCCTTCAGACTCAGGTTAAACGGAATGTGCGGCGGGCGAGCATCACAGAGTTCATGCTGCTGTATGCCTGGTATTATTGACCCAATGTAGTTTTGTGTTTCTTTGCTGGCTGTTTGGTCCACTGAGTATTTGGAAAATGATAGGGAGTCATTATTTTTAGTTGCTTTATTTGCATTGGGCAGGTTATTTTTGCTCTGGGTGGACTATTTAATGCTTTTTGGCTGATGGAGTTTGGAAAGTTTGCGTTTGGGACTGGTGAGGAGTCCTTAGCAGTTGCTCAGAATACATATGCTGTGAATCGGTTTAAAGGCAGAGAATTAAACTCGGTGTTTGCGCTCCAACTTAGCATGGCTAGAAATGGAAGTTCAGTAACCATAAGCCTCTTGGGATGGCTATATTCTAAGGTTGAAGCTTTGTTGGGTTCTGTTGGTCACACAACGCTTGAGGTCACACTTACGACTGGGGGTATAACATTTTTTTCATTAGTTTGTGCCTTGGACTTTGCTTACCTGTATCAGAGAGCGGAAAGAATCCTTCATGAAGAACAAGGGAAAACAGGTGAGGTTGTTAAGTTGCCTGATTTTTCCTCACCTCTGTGGTGGTGCATGTTTATCGACTGTGTTTGCTACTGTGTTGCCGTGTTCCCTTTCATTGGACTTGAGAAAGTTTTTTTTCAGAGAAATTTGGATTTTCCTCCCCAAGTAGTGAGTGCTATTAACAATACTGTATATGTATTAATAATATCAGCTCCCATGTCACCAGTATTTAAGCTCCTGGTGGGTAAAGAATGAAAAAAAAATCCCGGGTTCTGCGTGCAATTGTGGCCACTCTTTTCTTTTCCATTCTTGTTTTTTTAATTGAAGTATAGTTGATTTATAATGTGTTAATTTCCACTTCACAGCAAAGCAATTGAGTTACATACACATATATGTATATACATATATATACTTATGTGTACATATATATTCTTTTTAATATTCTTTTCGTTATGGTTTATCATAGGATATTGAAGGTTGTTCTCTATAGTGCTATATAGTAGCTTGTTATTTATCCGTTTGATATATAAAAGCTTACATCTGTTATCCCCAACCTCCCAGTCCATCCCTCCCCCTGCCCCCTCCAGCTTGGCAACCACCAGTCTGTTCTCTGTGTCCGTGATTCTACTTTGGCTTCATAGATAGGTTCATTTATGTCATATTTTAGATTCTACATACAAGTGATATAATATGGTTTTTGCCTTTCTCTTTCTGACTTCATGTAGTATGATAATCTCTAGGTCCATTCATGTTGCTACAAATGGTGTTATTTCCTTCTTTTTATGGCTGAGTAGTATTCCATTGTGTAGATGTAGCACATCTTCTTTACCCCCTTCTATGGGCATTTAAGTTGCTTCCATGTTTTGGCTATTGCAAACAGTGCTGCAATAGTGCTGCGACAGTGCTGCAATGCAACATTGGGATGCATATATCTTCTTGAATTATGGTTTTCTCTCAGTACATGCCCAGGAGTGGGATTACTGGGTCATATGGTAGTTCTATATTTAGTTTTTTAAGGAACCTCCATATTGTTTTCCATAATGGTTGTACAAATTTACATTGCTACCAACAATGTAGGAGGGTTCCCTTTTCTCCATACCCTCTCCAGCATTTGTTATTTGTAGACTTTTGATGTCCATTCTGACTGGTGAGATAGGACCTTATTGTAATTTTGATTTGCATTTCTCTAATAATTAGCAATGTTGAGCATCGTTACATGTGTCTATTGGCCATCTATATTTCTTCTTTGGAGAAATGTCTTATTTAGGGCTTCTGCCCTTTTGATTGGGTTGTTTTTGTTGTTGTTGTTGAGTTGTTTGAGCTGTTTGTATATTTTGGAAATTAAGCCCTTGCTGGTTGCATCATTTGCAAATATTTCCCCCACTTTGTACGTTGTGTTTTCATTTTGTTTATGGTTTCCTGTGCTGTGTAGAAGCTTGTAAGTTTGATTAGGTCCCATTTGTTTGTTTTTGTTTTTATTTCTATTGCCTTAGGAGACTGACCTAGTCTCCTAAGGTCAGTCAATTTATGTCATTGGAACAATTTATGTCAGAGAATGTTTTGCCCATGTTCTCTTCTAGGAATTTTATGGTGTCATGTGTTATGTTTAAGTCTTTAAGCCATTTTGAGTTTATTTTTGTATATGATGGGAGGATGTATTCTAACTTAATTGGTTTACATGTGACTGTCCAATTTTCCCAACACCACTTGCTGAAGAGATTTTTTCCCCATTGTACCTTCTTGCCCCCCTCTGTTGAAGATTAATTGACCATAGGTGTGTGGGCTTGTTTCTGGTCTCTCTATTGTGTTCCATTGATCCATATGTCTGTTTTTAACACCAATGCCACACTGTTTTGATTACAGCCGCTTTGTACTATTGTTGGAAGTCTGGGAGGTTATTCCTCCTGCTATGTTCCTTTTCTTCAGGATTGCTTTGGAAATTCTGGGTCTTTTATGGTGCCATATGAATGTTCTAGGTCTGTGAAAAATGTCATGGGTAATTTGATAGCAATCACATTGTCTGTAGATTGCTTTGGTGAATATGGCCATTTTAACAGTATTAATTCTTACAATCCAAGAGCATGGGATAGCTTTCCATTTCTTTGAATCATCTTCAATTTCCTTTGTTAATGTTTTATAGTTCTCAATTTATAAGTCTTTCACCTCCTTGGTCAGGTTTATTTCCTAAATGTTTTATTTTGGGGGGTGCATTTTAAAAGGTATTGTTTTTCTTTACACTCCCTGATATTTCATTGTTGGTGTAAGAAATACAATTGCTTTCTGTATGTTAATCTTGTGAATATTCTTATTTTAAAGTATAACTCTGAGGACTGTTTTAGCCTTTGTTTTTTTGTATTGCTGAATTCTGCTTTGGAATAGGCTCATCAGTGGTGAGGTTTGGGAAATTGTATTGTACCTGGTACATGCAGGTAATTGTGAGTAAGGAGAATTATGGAAGTCTTTGTATTTTGTATTGAGATAATTTTCACACAGTGTCATATCTTAGGGATATGTCCTTTTCTCTATCTTAAAGCAAAAATCTTTTGAGGGGGTAGAAGGGATGTTTTATATAGAATAAACAATGGCATTTTAATAGGCCCTCTCTTTTGTAATAGGGAATATTTGAAAGATATTTTTATGAAGTCTCATTTTCATAAATAGCAGATTGTGTTCTGCTGTCTTTAGTTATAAGAGGTTGCTGAACATGAACCCTTTTGAGCTTCCTTATCTCTCTGTTATTGAGGACCCTAATTCCTTAGGGACATGATTTTATGGTATGAACTGCATAGTTTTTCTTATAGTCCAATTAATTACCAAAAAAGTCCTATAAATTATGATAATTGCGTATCTCCAAGGATAAATAAAAACACTGCAAAAGGAATACTTGATATCTTTAACTTCTGATTTTTCAAAAATATTAAAACACTGATTTTAACTCTTATTTATGTGGAAAATTATCTCTGTAAGAAAATCTAAGCTGGAACAAAGAAAATTTGCCTAATCAGTCATTGCAAGATTATGGGGGTAGTTTTTTCTCCAGAGTAGGGCCTTAAATAACATTTATGTTTTTTGCATTTAAGAAGATGTGGATATGAAATTTCTCTGACAAACTTCAGCACTTTTTAGTTGCACCACCTTTTTGCCCTGCAGCACCACCATCCCCAGTGAAAAGCTCCCACCAAGCTATGGGGATCCTTAGTTGCCATATCCAAAGGGGACTCATCACCTTATCATCTTGCAGCAGCATCTGACCCCCGTGGCCTCTCAGTCCCTGATGTTCTGTCCTTCTCTACTTTCTTCTTACATTCCTGACTGCCTCTTCTTCTGCCCATGCCTGGCCTTCCTTGCAAAGTTGTCTAACTTTGCCTGATCCTTAGATTTCATTCTTACCCAGGGACCTATTATATGTGCTACGTCACTTGTGTCCGACTCTTTGCGACCCCATGGACTGTAGCCTGCCAGGCTCCTCTGTCCATGGGATTCTCCAGGCAAGAACACTGGTGTGCTTTTGTTGCCATTTCCTCCTTCAGAGGATCTTCTCAACCCAGGGATCAAACTCATATCTCTTATGTCTCCTGCATTGGCAGATGGGTTCTTCACTGCTAGTGCCACCTGGGGACCTATTAATGGTCTTTCTAAATTTCAGCTGACGATACAGTCTGATCAGGTCTTAATCTACCAACTCATCCCTCTCTCTTGAGCTCTAAAACCACAGGTTCAACCAGTTTCTAGACATTTTTACATGGGTGAACCATTGGTACCACAATGCATTCTGCAAACTGAACCCATGATTTCCACCTGCTAATAATCCTGCTTTCCTTCCCACATTCTCTTTTCTTCCTCAATATTAACTAAATTATAAAGACCAGAAATGGGGATGACACTTGTGACTATTTCCTTTTTAATCCTGGCATCAAATCAGTAAGTCCTGATAACATCCTAAATCCCTTCTTACCCTGACTCTTCTCCACATCCCTTCTGTTGGGAGCCAAGTTTAGTTTGTCATTGCCTATAACATCTTCCTGATGTTAGAGCTTCTGAGTTTCTAATCTTACATCCTCTGTACTGTCCTTGACATGTCACTGGACATGTACTTGACTCACAGGGTTCCTTATTCCAAGGCACAGACCTGCTCATTTAATCTCATTCCCCCTCCTCTTCCCTCACATTTCATGTTCTGGTTAAACCCAGTTCTAGTGAGTTCTCTGAACTTTCTGTGCATTCATGTATTACTATTTATGGCTGGCACCCATGTACTCTGCCTGGGGGAGCCAGGGAAAATGTCAGCAGAGAGGATACATTGAGTTGAGACTTGCAGGATGGCCAGGAGTGTGCCCGACTGGCATGTGGTTGGTATTCACTGTTCTTGATCCCACAGAATTTGTACTTTGGTGGGAGACAGATGGATACACAATTGAAGTACTTGGTGATAACCACTGGTTTAGAAGTGTGTACAAACAGCAGTAGAAGGCAGGGAAGGAGGTCCTGGAGTATGATAGAATCATTTCAACTTAGGAAAAAAAAAATAACCCCAGCATTTATGAACCATCTATTGAAATAAGGGCTTCCCAGGTGGCACTAGTGGTAAAGAATCCGCCTGCCAATGCAGGGTATGTGGGTTTCATCCCTAGGTCAGGAAGATCCCCTGGAGGAGGGCATAGCAACCCACTCCAGTATTCTTGCCTGGAGAATCTCATGAACAGAGGAGTCTAGCAGGCTACAGTCTATACGATCGAAAAGAGTCAGGCATAACTGAAGCGACTTAGAACACACATGATGAAGTGAAGCCCTCCAAGCACAAGGTCTAACATGGTGCTTGTGTGTAGCAAAATACATTGAAGTGGAACAACGAAATAGACTAGGACCTTGTGAGATGGACCTGAAGACAGAGTCTTTCTGAACCATACTCATGAGACCTTCTTACTTTATTACATCAAAATGGACTTCATTTGCCCTCTCTTCCTCCTCATCCCCTCTTGTGAATGCTGGCACTCTACAGCAGGGATCCCCAACCTCTGAGATCTAATACTTGATGTTCTGAGATGGAGCTGATATAAAAATAGAAATAGAGTACACAATAAATGTAATCTGCTTGACTCATTCTGAAACCATCCCTACCCTCCCCCACCCATGTTGGTAGAAAAATTGTCTTCCACGAAACCAGTACCTGGTGCCAAAAAGGTTGGGGACCGCTGCTCTAGAGAACTTTGACTCGGGCCTCTCCTGCATTTCTCTGTTCTGTGTCCCTGGGCACT